TTATCTAGAAATTTTTGTGCTTTCCGGAAGTTTTAGGAAGTATTCTGAAGTTTTTCTAATTTTTCTGAAGCTGTGCAAATATCTCTAAAGATCAGCGAACTTACCTGAAGTTCTGTAAATGTCTTTCAAAATCCAAGAACCGCAGTATAATTCTGAAAATGTATTTAAACATCTGCTAATTTTTCAGTAGATTTACGATCTATCCTCTGAACTTTTCTGAAGATTCTAAAATTTATTTCAAATTCTGTAAAGTTTTCTGAAGTACTGTATTTCTGCTCTAAAGATCTACGAACTGCCCTGAAGTTCAAAAAAAAATTCACAGTAGATCTCCGAACTTTTCTAAAGTTCTTTAAATTTTATTTGTGGATTCTTGAACTAAAGATCGGCGAACTTTCCCGAAGATCTGTGAGTTTTGCTGAAGTTTTGCAAATTTTTCTAAAAACGTACGAACTTTCTGACGTTCTACAGACTTCTCTTAAGGTCTACGGACTTCTTTTAAGGTCTAAGGAGTTCTCTGAAGTTCTTTAGATCTACACAGCTAAAAAAAAGTAGTGTAAATTTCCGTTACTATGATGCACATAAATGGAGCGTCATATATCATACAAGTTTAGATTATAGATCGTGTAAATTTATGAGACATGTCATGTAATATCCCATATATTGTATGCAACTGTCCACTTTTGTTTGCAACATTTCTTGCAAGTTGCTAGTTTACGTGAAAAGGAAGTTTGCATGTATGAATGTTTGCATGCATGGATGTTTACATCGCCAGTAAAATTCAGAATTTTTTGATGTGTATCTATTTCCGACTTCCATGGAGTTCTGCAAAATATTGTACTTTTGTACTTCGCTGCGATATGTTTTTGGAATTGAGGTGCTTTTCTGACATTTAACGAATTTTTCTAAAGATCTCACATTTGTGTGAAAATGTGAAACTTTCTGTCAAATTCCTGCAAATATCTTTAAAGTTCTGTAAAGTTGTCTTAAGCTCCGTAGCTCTATTCCCAAGATCTACAAATAAAAACTTGAGGCTCAATAAATTTCTCAGTAGATCTGAAAACTTCTCTGATGTTTTGTAAATTCCTCTCGGGTTACCCTGAAGATTTGAAAATTTCGTTGAAGATTACCTCAAGTTGTCAAAATTTATCTGAAAATATTTGAGCTTCTTTGAAGTTTTAAATGTCTCTCTCAAGATCTAAAAATTTTCCTGAAACCGTGTAAATATTTTTTTTTAAACCGCCGAACTTCCCTGAAGTTCTGCAATTTTTACTGAAGAGCCATTAACATTTCTGAGATTCTTGTGATTTTTTTCAGAAATCCTGTAATTTTTTTCAAAATTTTGTAATTTTGTTCTGAAGATCTACGAACTTTTCTGATGTTGAATAATGTCTCGAGGATCTCCAAACTTTTGTGTAATACTTTATATTTCACTGTAGATTCTTGGACTTGCTGTAGTTATGCAAATTTCCCTGAAGATTTGCAAAATTTCGCTTATAGTTTTACAAATTGATTTGAAATTATTTTTGCTTGCTTGAAGTTTTGAAAATTTCTTTGAACATTTATCTGAAGATCTACGACCTTTCTTGTGATGTTGTTTTTCTGAATTTCTGTTAATTACTTTTAATTTGTTTGTAGTTCTGTTCTCAAGATCTACGAACTACCCTGAAGCTCAACAAATTTCTCAGTAGATCTCCGACCCTCTCTGAAGCTCAAAAAAAAAATTCTATGTAGGCTCTCAGACCTGCTGTCTGGCATGCTTATTCTTATACAATACATGCTTCGTATGCTTCCTTTTGCCAGTCTCTCTTTTTCGACTGTTTCCTTTTTACGACGATTTTGATCCTCCACATACAAATCAGCGAAGAGCGAGCGTGACAAGACTCTCTGAATGAACTTGTCTTGTTCGCACACGTTGTCTTAGATGTCAGATGCTTGTCAAATCCAGTGTCCTTAAGAAACGTTTCGAGAAACTGAACGAAAAACTTCTATTGAATTACGAATGAAGTGATAATTGGGAAATTCCCTGAGTCGAACCAAAATTCCCTGAATATTCCAGGTTTTTCCAGAAAAAAATTAAATTCCCTGTAAATTCCCGGTTTTCCAGGTTTTTCCAGGTAGTAGACACCCTGTTTTCTTAAGTTTTAGAACTTTTTAAAAGTTCCTGCAATCCTGTAGATCCGCAATCAAAATCTAGAAGCATCCCTGAAGTTCCGGGAAGAATCATTTGAGCGAAGGCTGAAGAAGCTTCCAAGGGAAGCCGAAATAAGTTTCCGAGAGGAATCGTTAATGGAAAATTCCAGGGGAAAGTGGGAAAAAAATCCAGGAAGTTAAATAATGTTGAAAAAGTATTTCCTGATTCCCCAGGAATTACCAGAAAGTGCCATCGACTGTTTATTGATTCATGGGTAGCCAAAAACGGTGGGGAAATTGAAACATTAATCGAAAGAGCATCCATAAGACATTTTTGAAGTTATTTTTTTAGAATTTAAAGACTCAAAAAATTTGAGATATTCAAAAAGATCAAGTCTCAAACAAAAATTGTCTCCGAAATTCTGAGCGCAGGCAGGCAATAATCATTTTGCTTATTTAAAAAAATCGGTATAAATCGGTATAACACCTCAAAAATCGGTATTCTGAGGAACCTTATCTGTATATCGGTATCTAGTTCGGAAATCGGTATATCTGGCAACGCTGGTGGTGGTGTCCGATCGTCGGCATCAGCAGCAGCAGTAGTAGCAGCAGCAGTCAGTGCTTTCGGCGCGTGGCGTTGAACATTGTTCTCCAGTACACAACGAAAGGCTGCCTGCAAGCAGCGAGCTGCAGCCCACATGAGCATCCATAGAAGGAGGAAGAAGCCGCATCGCTACTGATCGGAATCAGTAGCTCTTCGTGAGTCGCTGTCAAGCGTCAAGCGCGTCATACTAAAGTGTATAAACAGAGAGAACCCCGCTCAAATTCCTATGCCTACACAAAACACAAGCTCTTGTTGCAGTTAAAAAATAAGATTTATTATATAAGACCACGTAGTCCTACGTCACCATTGCGTACAGTCCCATAGCGCTGTCCCTTGTAGTTTTGTTTTTATTCATGATTGAACATTGTTTTACAAACATTTTAAATTTTGTTTTTTTTAATTGAAGATATAATTAATTTTTTTTTATCAGGAAATGAAACACGTCTATGGGAAATGTAATTTGTCTTGCATTATTCGCATTTTTGTACTTTGAAATTCTACCAAAAACACTTGAATTTCCCAATAGAATTCAATGAACATTATCGAAAAAATATCAAAAGATCCGATCCACTACATTTTTTTTCCAATTATATCGACCCTCGCCCCACTGTGCGTTGGCGAGAAGAAAGAGCAGCAACGCAAACAAGGCTACTGTGTTGCTGCTGGTGGTGAGGTTCGTTCAGAAACCGGAATTCGAATCTTGCAGAAAGCGAGGAACATGTGGTGATCTCCGACCAGCACCGGTTAAGCCGCCGCTACAAAGCAGTTCAGACATACGGCAATGATTTGCTCTTCATTCGGTCTCGCTTCGTCGGCTGTTGATTCTGCGCTGCGCCGAGCAAGTCCAATAGCCTTTTTTTTTTTTGCAGACCGGCCCATGAACTTTTTGCTTCGGGGATGTTCGAGGTGATGGTGATGATGAGTCATACCTTGTGTCTGCCACAGCGCGATGGTTCCCCTACGTTGTGAAATCCGAGTCGGGTTAGGCAAAAGGTATGGTTTTGTCTCGAGAGGGAAGTTTCGACGTTTGAATATTCAACAGTATTGTAGATTTCTTAGTTATGAGAATTTAGAATATGAGATGAGATTCGAATAAGCGCAGAGCCCATTATATAGGGTGTCTACTCATTTTGCTAGAAAAAATTCCCTGACTTATCCAGGACTTCAATGAAAAGTTTAAGGAACTGACTTTAAAGTACATTCTGAGCAGAATGGGAAAATTGTTTCATTGATGCAAGGATAGCTCGTTTCAATTGCATTATGCTATATAACTTTTCCGCGTTTCGTTTTAGTTAAGCGGAACCAAGTCTCATTCCAGTCCATCGCTGGATGCACCTTTATCCGCTGACTTGTTCCTGCTTGCTGCAGAACCAAGTGCCACCCCGTTCGAAGCGGAGGAGGCACGATAGCAGCGCTGTTTTATATCTTTATGAGTTCAAGCAGAACGATATGCAACCAAGTGGTACTCGATTATGACGACTGGGTTAGGGAAAACGTTTATTTCATGCAAACAGAGATAACATTATCATTTGTACATTTTTCAAATGTTTTTATGGAAAATTGAAAAAAGATATTTATTTCAGCAGATTCGTAATGTAATATCCTATCGATTGGCGTATTTGGATTTTAATTTCATCAATAAATGGCAAAGTTACAAGCGTTCAAAACCTAACACTATTTCACCGCACATATCTTTCAACACTTTAGACCATTTTCAAATGTTAGTCGCAATGTCCAGCAAAAAAATGTTATTTTTCATGATAGTATATTAAATAACAAACAATTGATTCTCAGATATGGTGGGTGTCAGACTTACCCGAAGCATGAAATGTTTGTTATTTAATATGGTCTAAAATTTTGAAAATTTACAATAATTTATATTTTATGAATTCGCATTAACTAGAGAAGGCGTAATTCATAGAACATATCGAGGTAGATGATAGTAACGTTTCATCAAATTTATCAATAGTTCTTACATATCATCAGAGTGCCATAAAGTTCTATGATGCAGTTCGTCCATTTTTCACGATTGTACGTTAATATGATATTGTTTCGAACGTTGGACTGATTGTTATTGATTGCTACTGTGACACCAATCTTCTTGTTGTCAGATACCAAGTTAATACCAGACAACTTTGCTTGAACCCACCACTATCCTCTCTTTGATATCAAATCCGCCATCCCATTGGTGATCTCAACCAAGAGAACTACCTGTGCAAATCAATTACCCACCAATTACGAAAACTCGATTGTTGTAGTACATTACCTAATCTGGTTTTGCTGCTCTGCTATATATTTTTTTTTTCAAGCTGCTCACTGTCCTACTCCTCTTACTGTTGCTGCTGCTGACTTTATGGAGCTACAACACACACTGCTGCGTTCCTGTGTGTTTGTGTGTGTCTCGACGACGACGATGAAGAAAATCCAAAATAATCCCCTTTCCGGGTACTGTGGATTGCCTTCAACTGCTATTCGCGCACTGCACTGCACTTCTTACGGGTTCACAGGTGGAAAAATTCCTCTGCCCTCATTGACATTTGCAAATTCACACGAAACTCGACGGATCGAAAATTTCACCACAATACCAATGTGCTCCGCAAACTTTCATCACTCATTCTTGATCGTTAATTTTTCTGTTGCTTTAGATTTTTTCCCATTCTCAAAAATCACTCTTCACTGCAATGAAAGGAAAACAATAACAAACTGACACACTCGTTGGGCACTTTCCACAATGCAGAGAGCCATGAACGGGCGTCGAAAGCGTTTTCCCGAGAAGGTGTGCGGCCAGCGGCCAGCTATCGTTTGCAGTTGACTTCAGCAGCTCGAAACATTCTTTGCCGTTGTTGCTTCTTTGTGGGGTTTATTTTCCATCCATGGTTACTCTTGCCTTGTATGTACCCATCGTTCTTCGCTGATGTATACTCTTGCTAGGCTACCAATAATCGCGCACACACACATTCGAACCTCACAGTTCGAGTCACACACACTCACTCACACAGAGGCGAACCTTTTCAACTCAGAACACACCTGAATTTTTCAAGCTCTGTAAAATTAATTTCCTCGGAATGATTTTCCTATCGGATCCATTTTCTACCGCACTGCGAAAGTGGAATTAGAAATTTCATCACTCTCTCACCACCACTGCACTGTAATTGGAATGATTGCATTTTTTTGCCCCGATAATCTCTTCGATAGAATCCACAAATATATCACTCACGAACCGACGACGGTGCAAAAATTTGATGATGAAAGAACGATTGCAAAATAATCACAGTGATGTGAAAAAATGATTCTCTATAACCAGCCAACAAGTCACAGGAGGATGAGCAGCGCAGCGTGTCCGAAGGCAAGGGAAGGACAGCGCTACCAACTGCCGCCGCAGCTTTAGATAGAACACGGCAACAGAAAGAGAAGGATATGGTGGGCGATAACAGAAGAAAAAATGACACTCGAAAAACAACAACAATAATAACAACGAACCTCACGGAACGGGATGGTCAACGGTGACTGAATAGCTGGCTATCGAAACAACAAACCGATCCGAACGAACTCACAATCCCGACTACTGCTGAAATGAATGAAAAGCACGAAACGACGATCGCTTGAAGTTCGGGGTGTGTTGGTTTGTGCGCTTGCCGCCGCTGTGAGCGTGTGTTAGTGAGAAAGACTGTTCAAAACAAACCGCAGTTTCATCAACTTCAACGTGACAGCCACACGCAAGCCGCCTCGCGGAGAAGGGGACAGTGATGCCACATTTTTTTTGAATTACAATCTGTATTTTCATCACAAAAAATCTTTTTAATATGTATCTGGCTGACAAAAATCGGAATAATTTATTTATTATGGTCTCAGTGTTAATCTACCTAAATCTTCATTGAGTTCATTCATAGTTCAGAAGGATTTGGTTCAATGTTTAGAATCTTGAAAAATGACTAGAGAATGATTTCTTTTTCTTGTTTTTAAATCTAGAAATCCTACAATCCTGATTTTTTTAATGTGATTTGTATCTTTTCTATAAGTCTAAAAATACATAACTTGAACTTTCAATAGTAGTGAAAGACAAATCTGTTTCCGACTGAAAATATCCTGGGTTTGCTAAAATGGCTTTTTTACCGATGAGACAAAAAATATTGTTAATTCATTCTTCTTCTTCTTCACATTTCAAGCTTATTGCATATTGCATATTAGCTTATTGCGTGCTCTCAACTTAGTGTTCTAGATGCACTTCCACAGTTATTAATTGAGAGCTTTCTATGCCTGTACCATTTTTGCATTGGTATAATTCTGTGGCAAGTCCAATCATACTTCTATGCCCAGGGAAGTCGAGAAATTTTCCAACCCGAAAAATTCCTAGACTGGACCGCGAATTGAACCCAGCCAGCATGGTCTTGCTTTGTAGCTGCGCCTTTACCGACTGAGCTAAGAGAGGTCCAATATGGTTAATTCAATTAAAATTAAATTTTCAAAAATCTGTTATCTGTATATACAGATATCTGTATCAAATTATTGAAATTAATATGTTTTCAGATAAATCTGTATATGTGGCATCACTGGTGGTGGTGATATGCTAGCTTTGGTAGCCTGCGCATGTTTCACGACTAACAGGGGGAAACAGGGGTCAAATGGACATAGTTTATTGCTCTTTATAGCTACCATAATAAAATTTGATTGTTTATTTTGCTATTCGGAGTATCATCGAAACCATTTATGGAATAGTTATATCATTGGGGTTACCGTTAGTTTATGGTATTTTTATTAGGGTAGATCGGGTAGATGACGTACACACCAGTGCTGCAAAATTTCGACAATACACGGTGATATTGACAATCCTGCTTTGGTCACTCATTTGAGCTAACAGTCACAGTCAAGGCAAACCATGTCAATTGTCAATGACAATGCTGTCAGTGACGAACATGAGTAGATTTTTATATTAACTAAATTTTTAACAAAATTAAATGACTTGAGCAACACAATTACATGGAGCCGTTAACGTGAACAAGCATCTACGTCCTGAAATGCTTGGATAACATTAATGTGACTCAGAATGTGCGATATTACACTTTCTGTTACCAGGTGAATCTTTGTCATTGACGAAAAAATGAATGAGATTTTCACAAAGGTTTTTTTGAGGATCAAGTCTGTCAGTGACTATGTGACGAACAATTTTGTCAATATCGCGTGAAAGTCTGTCAATGACAATGACAAATCTCAGCACTGCACACCTCGCTGCACACCTCGCTGCACACCACATTTAAATCGCTGAACATCAGCAAAATTTTGCTGATTTTAGACTTGATGAAAGATCAGCAAACGTTCCAGCAAAATAATGCTGCTGAATTTTTCAGCAATTCCAACTTCTGTCAAAATGACAACCTTTTACTGAAAATCAGCAATATTTCTTTGCTGATCTTTCAGCAATTAAAAATGTTGACATTTGGCAGCATTTTGCTGATTAAACAATTAAATTCAGTAAATCGAATTTATTTTCACTATATGAGCTTCCAGCTTCTGTACATATACAAATAATAAAGATAAAATCGCCAGACTGCTTTTCAAGTATCGTTTATTAAGTTTAACCAGTGTCCGAGCCAGAGTCCTTACCTACATAATTTTATCTATTTGTAGTTTTTTTTAGCTCTTCTTCCTCCTGATGCGGTTTGAATGGTGGTGTACGAATGCAAAAATAATTGCGACTGTGATGCTAACAGTTTGACAGCTCTTTTACTGGGTGTTAGTTTATGTTAGCTGATGTTTTCAGTAAAAATATCGTTTGCTGTTTTTCAGTAAAGCATCATGGTCATGATCCAGCAATCCGTTTTACTGATATTGAAAACTTAAATTTGGTGTGTAGTTCATACTGAGGCATCAAATTTGATGTTATTATTTTTGTGCTCCTTTCAATAATACCTATATTAATAACAAAATAAATGGTTTAGCATTTAATTTCAAAACGGTTGTTGAAAAAATCCTAAAATTAAGTTTATTTTTTTTATCTAGAAAATCAGTTCCTTAATTATTCATAATTATGCTCCAAACATGTTCACCCAACTTTCGGAAACTAACTAATGTTAGTAATGGCAAAACAACTTTAGAAATAAAACTGTACCTGACATCACCAATCCTTATGTTGCAGAAGTATGGCAGACAAGTGGCTTTAAACTAGAACTTATTTAAGGGGTTACGCCTACCTCCAAACTTTCAAAAAATCGATTTTTTATTGTCCTAATCAAAAGTATATAAAGTCAAGAATATTTCCTCAAAAGATCAAGTTGATCCGATGAAAATTGTGAAAGTTATGCGACGTACAAAAATATTCAGTTATAGTGGACTAAACCCAACTTGAAACTTTAAACGCGATTATCTCGGAATCATATTTTCAAAACCGGTGCCAAAAATTTCTCGAACGAACGATGCCAAAAAACCAAACGATCAAGAACTAGTTTAACACATGCTTAACGATTTGGCATGGTTTTTTTTTTTTAATTTCAGATGATTACATCACAAACCGCAGTTGGCACCACAAAAAGCGTTTTTTAGAACATCGTCCACGGGGAGCAGCCATGCGGGGCACCAGGACCTCGTTTTTATAGCATCGACTGATAAATTTACCATTTAATGTGTGTTCAATAAACGGCAGAAAACCGATTTTCAATAGGGGAATTTACGTATTCTCGGCAACCTAAGCAGCGACCTTCTTTCTATATAATATCTTATTATTCTATAATTTAATAAAACATTTTTTTAGGCAAAATGAATGGAAGGCACCCTAGTTATAACTAAAGAGCCTGAATTTATGAAGAGACGACATCTTATCCATTTGACAGGTCTTCTGCTCGATTGGAATGACTTTTCCTATGACTTTGACAGACAATCGATTGTTCCAATTTTGACATGTCGCCTCTTTATAAATTTAGGCTCTTTAGTTATAACATGTTATAACGGTTGTCAAATAATTGCAACACAGAAACCACCATCAAGATAGCGCTATAACATGTTATAACCATAGAGGTAAATCTAAGACCAGAAGGTCCAGAAGAAACGAGCTCAACTTTTTGGCTCAGCTCTGGTACTAGCTTCGGTTCCAAGCTAATCGATTCACCCCTCGAAACTTAGGAAAATCCTGTAGTCTGAACGTACTATAATATACAGGTAACACAGAAGGAAGAACTGTTAGTTTGTTTACTAAAATGAACTATGACGATTGTACACACAGAAAAAATATTTTTAACGTAATAATATTTGACGTAAAATCAATAAGAATTTCATTTTGTTTTGGCTGCAAAAAGAAATCATTATTGTTTCAACAATCCAGTATTTTAGATCCTCAAAACCCATGGATTGTTAAATCAAAATGAAAATCTTTTCGAATATACAAAAGCTTTCATTGTTTTGACGTAAGCTGTCAAATTTGGCAGCTGGGTCAACAACAAAAATATGTTTGATTTTAAAAGAGATTTCTTGTTGATTCAATCATATTTATTGTATGAAGTCTGACAATTCACACAGTAGAAATAAAAATATGTCTATTGATTCAAAAATCCGGAGTGATTTGAGATTTCTGCGTAATTGCTTTTGTAAACAAACAATTTAATATCTGATTTCTCTTGAATAAAAGCTCAATCTCACAAACAAACTATACCAAATCATTCCTCTATCTCATAGTGTTATTACTTTTCGAGATTGAGCTTTTATTCGCGTGAAATCGGTGATTGACGTGGTTGTTAACAAATGCAATTACGCCCAAATCTCACATCACTACGAAAATAATATGGCCAATTTTTTTTTATGTTTTGTTTTCTTTTTCACTGATCATCCTTCGGAAGGGAAGTAAAGCCATTGGTCCCCGGTTCATTAGTTCATGGGTCGATAAGTAGGGTCCAGGCGTCGGGAGCATTGGCCCTCAGTACGGAAAACAAGATCGACGGAAAAAAAAATCAAGAAAAAAAAATTGATTATATTTAGCAACTGCAGCTCGAACTGCAGCATACTTACTTACCTTTGTTTTGTTATTGTTTAAATTTTTGTCCGGGTGAAAACGAGGGAATGGTTGGTAATTATTTTTGTATTCATGGCCCGGGGAATGGACACAGCAAATAAATGCAAAATTAAATTAACTATTGTTAGCTTGATAATAGAATATTGTTGCAGTTGAAAAGTGGCTTATTAAAACAAAAAGAATCCTATTTTGAATTTATATGAATAAGTATAATTGAAACAACAAAATGCAATATAATTTCAACCGGAATTGTTTGTTTAAATACAACTAATGTTTTTTTTTTTGTTCAATGCAAACAATTTTCTGTCCGTGTATATGGCAAATTTAGCTAAAATCCAACCTCCTCGTTTTTATTCACGAAATCCACATCGCATGCGTAGGAAATCAATTTGGCAAGGCAATTGCGACCAGCATACACCT